ACTGTTAGTGATAGTGGTACCCGGTTGATGGTACGCTTTACGTGTGTCTAAGCATTTATATCTAAGCATGCTGTACCTCTGAAATTTCATTACCTTTATATTATGCCTCTATAGCTGTATTTTATAGTTCGAAAGAGGTATAAGTATTTGGAAGTTGCGGCAGATTCAAAATCCGTATTGATTCCATAAAACGATTGCATTTTCGTTAAGTTGTTGCATGATTTTAGGGTCGAGAGGAAGAGCGACGAAAAGCGGAAAAACAAGAAAAAGAATAACAAGAGCGACATTCGACGATGGAAAATAACTGTCGTTGTCCGTGCCATACAACTCCAGGTTATACACATGTTGGGGCATGTTGCCACCCAGGTCTGCCGAACCCTCGACCATCCGTACCCCGGCCATGGTAAAAGAATTTTGATTGTTTCATAAGAAAATTATCCAATGTCACTCAACCGTTATATCAAAACCTTTGTCTTGTATTTCGTACTTTCCTTTTAAATAATAAACAGTTCATTGAAATTTAGCTTCGTGTTTGTTTAATTTCTTCAACACTCCCTAACTTGATAATAAAAGTCAATAGTTTTGATGATTGTCTTAATAAGCTTCTTAATGGATGTCTCCAATCTTAATCAATCTTGATCATTCGTATCAGGAAAATACAATGTTCATCATCGAGGGTGATTATTCCTGTCCACCCTATTTACTTCATAAAAAATGGATGGATGACCATCGTCATCGTTGATTTCGTCTACTTGATCATTTATCAATTCTATTAGAGTGCACGAAACATCGAACTCGAAAAGATTCTCGTTGGGAAATTGGTCTGATCTGACAGATTATGATTGATGATTTCAGCAGGATGATACAAATTTCGTTTAACATAAAATAAATTGTTTCTCTTCGAAACCATTTCCTCACAAGTAAACCCAAAATTTACGGCAAAACATGTTAAATAATTCTTTTCTATTGGCATTGATGGTGCAGCTATGTTGCACAAACTAGAATTGAAAAATCGATTTAAATTGATTTTTGTATTAAAAAAGATAAATCAAAAAAATGGCACATTTCTTTAAAAATTACCGCAATGGTTTCTCCAGAAACACGGACCATGACTTTTGAGAAAATGCCTGATATGCCTTGTATCGTTATTGGAAGTATTCTTACTTTGAAGTCTAATAAGAAACAACACAAAGCTGAATAAATAGGATAATATCAGAAAGAATCTCGGAAAAGTAGTAGAATCGTATACAAAAAGGAGACAGAAAAGATCTCAGAAAACTTAATTTGCATAAACGATCTCGAAAAAAGAGACTCTGCCGCATTCTATCGTTGTTACTCTTTCTTTCCTTATATTACCTTAATTAATATCATTAATATTGATTAGTACACAGTTGATTAAAAAAAATGGATAGTTATAAACTAAGTAGAATGACAGAAAATAGAAAGGACGAAATGAGTGTGGGACGAAACAAGAGCTAATTAAAAAAGAAAGGACGAAACGACAGTAATCCATCGCGATGAATTCCCGTTTCGTCGAAAATATTTTTAGAGCTTTTTTTCTAGTGTTCCTGTTTCGTCGAAAGGAAGCTTTACCTATTCCTGTTTCGTCGAAAAATAAAGTAGAATATAGATTATTCTAATTAATAACCTTTTCTTAAATAGACTAATTAAAAAGAATGCTGACTTATTCAAAATATAAAAGTAGAATATACTTTATTCTAATTAATAAACTGTATGGAGGGTTTTTTTAAACAGACTTAAAAAGATTAAAAAGAATGCTGAATTATTCTAAATGATTCTATTAAAAAAGTACATGTGTACATTATTAGAGAAAGGAACAACACAAACGACAAATAAATTAAAATCAAAATTTTTTGACACCAATTAATTGCATCACTTTTTCCAGATATTCTTCCAGTGTTAATGTTTGTTGTTTATAAAGATTTTCTAAATCGTGTAATCGTGCATTTCGATTCACAAATAATTTTTTTCTTGGTGGTACTGTACCAGTAGCTGTATGACGTGAAGATATTGCTGAATTGTAAGCATAATCGTTTTGAATTGCACGAATAAACATATAAAAATGTGGATGTATGATGTGGTTTAAATCAGTATTTAAACGATGATGCCAGCCTTCTAAACTGTTATTTGTTCTTGAACTTTTAAAATCAAAATAATTCCATAATGATAAATCGGAATCAGTACCTCCACAATCGGTTGTGGTGATTCTTCAATACGTCGATTTAAATTCATTTTAAATTCTTCAACTTTACATTTATTTTCATCACCACTGTGATTGTGCGGTTTCTTCATACTTGGTGGATCCGACCCTATTGTATAGCACGCCCAGGACACGAACGATCTTCACATTTCAAATAAACAGTAGTATTCACAATTTTGTCTTGGCTGTAACGAAAAGAATCAAGTAATAAAATAGGTTTTTTACGCTTACTTTCGACAACAGATAACATGAAATACAGTGCAAGATATATCAGAGAAATCATTGTGTTAAAGTAGAATACAAATAGAATAGACAGTGATTAAATTCCGTTTCTTACTGCATGTATATGTACTTCATTTGGAATAATTCAGCATTCTTTTTAATTAGTCTATTTAAAAAAACATTATTAATTAGAATAATCTATATTCTACTTCTAGTTTTATATTTCGACGAAACAGGAACAGCAAAAGCTTTATTTTCGACGAAACAGGAACACTAGAAGAAAATATTTTCGACGAAGCAGGAATATCAATTAAGCTTTCGATGAAACGGGCTTCGACGAAACGGGAACTAACCATCTATCGCATCATAGTGATTTTTTAATTGTATTTCGAAAGTGTAGAATACTGCTGAGAAAAAACGGCCAAATTTTCAATTGATTTAATTAGCATCCAGTTTTCTTGTGATTGTTTCCATCCAAAGTTTGATTGATTAAAGCGATACTTCTATAAAAGTCAAATGTATACTGTTTATATCTTGGTCTAGGAAGTTGATTAAGAGTTCATATCTGCAGCATTAGCAGTCATGGTCGAATACTATCTATAACCAAGAGCATATGCAAAAATAAGTTTTACGTATATGCGAACATATTATATGTACAACTGATATCATCCTACATGTACTATAATTTTGCACATTTTTCGTAGTCTAGTAGTTTCTTCACTAGTCGGATGTAAATCGGCGAACTTGAACATTAAAACAAAATTCAATTTTAATAAGTATATCGTTCTTTCAGTTGTGAAATTGGTAGATCAATACTTAATAGAAATGTTCACTGTAGATAAAAATGTGCCATCATCATGCCACGATGAACATTTCTAATAGCTACTTTGTACGGTTAAAAAGCAGTTATATGTATTGGTGATTTCCACCGATAAAAAACCACGTTTACAGTAAAGTTTGTCGAATTGATGGAGACCTATCTCTTTCGAAAGAGCATCAAATTCTGAACAAGAAAATGTATTTTTCAACTTTCCAAAACCCTGCGAACACCCCCGAGAAAATCATGGAGGGTTTAAACTTTCAAGGTTTTAGGGCATATTTGCATTGCGGCTTTCTCAACCAAATCAAATGCTAGTGCTTGGAAACTTTCAGATCACATAGAACACGCAATTCTGAACAACTTTGCCTCAAGAATCAACTCTCTAAGTCGTCACCATCATGTATACCATCACTTTCAAAATGGCGACATATTCAAAAAGGAGCTATTTTGAAATACGTTTTCTGAGGTCAAGACGACCTTTAATTTCAAATCTGAGTAGTGCATCGGATTCAACATCATTTAATCTATCTGAAACACTATCTTTGGTTTTTTCAAGTCTCTTTGTCGAGTTGCCTGAGAGAGAAATCAACGAAGATCACTTTCAGGTTTTTGGCGTTTTTGCCCAACTTGTAACTCATTTTCTGAGATCTTTTCCCCTACTTTTGGAGATTCGGGTGGTGATATTCGGATTCAGCGCACTCAATTCTATACAAATCCGTTGAAAACTCAACCCTCCATCTCCCGTTTCTGAGTTATGCTCATTTTAAAATGATGAGTAATGACTAAAAATCGGTCAGGTTATAACCTTCTAAATCACAGAGTTTTCGACTTACAAAGCTGAAATTTACAGTTTATAGGCAGTTTTTAATGCTGATTCTAGTGCCATTCTTAGAAATTAATTTGTCAGAACTCTGCAAGGCTTTTTAGCCGGATTTTTCTCTAAGCGTGCTCTTTTATCGTGGTTTTTTATTCTTCATTTAACTTGTTTTCACAAAAAGAGTCTAACAAATGAACAATGAAACAAAATGAAACATTAAGTGGGCTATAGCAGCCTAGAACTCAGAGTAAATATCTTGATTACCAGCTAGTTGTTGGGTTGATATAACAATACCACGTCTGGTAGCTTTAGGATGTTCGACGAGTCGCGCTATAATCTCGTTACGAAAAACTGTAGACTGATTTGGAGCTTGATTGCGTTTTGGAGAGGAGAAGGACAGAGATGGACCAGCTGGATGAAAGAACTGTAGATCAACAGAGGCACTAATTATACCGACACCAGTTATTAGAGCTAAGTACCACTTATCTAGCACAATACAGTCATTTTTGAGGAGACCGATGACACTATGAACTCGTTTAGCTGTCTTTTTATCATCTTTGGTTAGCATTTGATATAGTTTCGAGTTGATGATACTATCGTATTCCTTTTATCGGGCCAGCCATAGGAAGTTGATTCCATCTCTCCATTAAAGTCGAACGAGTGAGCTCAACATTTTTACTATCCAAATAAAACACCTAAAGCATAGAAATAAAGTTTTCAGATTCTATTCGTACACTCACTTTATCTCACTTCTTCTAAAGCTCGTTCAGGTTCAGTTCCACTCTTGTCGACAGGTTTGAAATGATCGAATTTTTGCTTCGGTTTTTAGCTTTAATGAATGCACAAATAATTCGCTGAGCATTGTGCACAAAAAGTTTATCGTGACTCATGTAATCTGAGATTACAACGATATTGTGTGCGTTCACACTGGTTGTAATATAAACTGTGAAGATAGTTGCTTGTTTGACATTCCAATGCTTGCTCTGAATTTCTCTTTGTGCATCAAAACTATAATTCTCAGCAAAGTCAAGCTGTATAACAGCCAATTCTTTATCACGACACTTTCTAATTTCCTCTATATAATACTTTTGTCGATGGTGTATATACTGATGCATACAAAAAGAATCAAAGCGACTATCAAGAGCTTGAAGTAGATCATCAACGGAACCTGATATTCTTTTGATATCAACCTAGGTCAGAGAGTTACCCACGTTAAAAGACGATGGGCCAAAAAATGTACTGCTTTGAGCAGCGAGATATTTTCATGATAGATGCAAACGCAAACTTCATGAGGTGATGTCTTCTTCACATATTTTGGCCTGAGACTGTCGAACTTTGAACGTCTAATTTCTAAACCTGGATAATCTTGACGAAATTTTTCATAGGCCTGATCAACTGTACATGTTAGAAATCTAACAGATTCATTTCCATCGGCTCGACTTCGCCGCTTTTGCTTTATGACATTCTTACTGTTATATCCAGCTTTCATTTAGAGGTAACATCGCGGACAGAGAAGGCTATCAGCTGTGAATTACAATCTACGGAATGCTGATTGTGCACGGTAGCGCTGTACAATATAGTTGGATAAAGCTTCAGCTTGCGCTGCATTGTGCCATCTCAGAGGAGTACCTTTAACTTTTTTGGAACTCCGTTCAGTATTATCATTCGATTATCACAAGAATCCTAGAATCCTAGAATCCAAAGAATCCTAGAATCCTAGAATCCTTGAATCCTAAGAATCCTAGAATCCTAGAATCCTAAGAATCCTAAGAATCCTAGAATCTTAGAATCTTAAAAATCCTAGAATCCTAGAATCCTAGAAACCTAAGGATTCTAGAGTCCTAGAATCTTAAAAATCCCAGAATCCTAGAATCGTAGAATCCTTGAATCCTAAGGGTTTTACGGGAGGTTTCCAGAAACCTTGTGACCTTTAAACCGGCTGAATCTCATACTTGCGAACTCTTTCAGCATCAATACACTATTCTAAGTGTTTCCTAAAAATTTGGTGTGTTTCTGACTTAAAATGGCTGATGTACGACAACTCTAGTTTTGACAGGCTTCATGCAAAAATCCGTTTTTTCATTAAAAATACCCTGCTGACCTTGGATCAACTTCTAGTCAAAAACAAACATTGCCACGTTGATCAGCACATTCGGTAACCTATGTTTCAAGTCTTTCCGAGATCTTCCGACGTGTCCGGCCCGAGTTAGCGTGGTCTCCGAAGAACCTTTCTAGCTCCGGAACCTTGTAAGCTAACGACCTGGGACTGCTCTAGAAACGAATATCTCAGTCCGGGCTACCTGCCTGTCGTCTCAAAAGTTAAAATCCGAAACTTTTTCAACAGTGTCACATCTTTCGCAAAATATCTACACAGTGTGCACCACCTGCAGGTGATTTTGGGACAATAATTTTCGATTTTTCCTATTGCCCCAACATTTTTCTTTCGACCAGTGAAAACCGCAGCTCCGTAGCTACATCCCAGAAAAAGTTATTAAACAAATGGCCATGGTCTTTCTTTTTTGAAATGGATAATAGATTTTTAGTCTTTCTCCTAGGTTGTTCATGTATCAGATCCAAATGATCAATCAACTATATATACTATTGACAAACAAAAATATTTATGTGCAAAAGAACGTTGCGATTATGATCCCAGTGAAGAAGGTACAAAGCATTTGGTAGACGAATTAGTGCTTCAGATATTTACAGCTGAGGAAATGGAATATTGTTCGGTGGACGGCAAAATACAACGGACAAGATCATTTGATACTAGTAAATTCCGTACCATTGATGTTCCGTATCATTTATGTACTCTTTATGGTGTACGCTACTTCACATATATGACAGTTGCGCTATTTTTAAGAACTAATTATTGCAGCAATATAGTCAGCAGGATCGTTAATCTATGTAATACCTGAACAAACCCACTATGACAACGGTAGTGACAAATCATTCTTACTGCTTGTTTAAGATCATATTAGCAGTGATAGGGCCAAATAGAATATACATATTACCTATAATTAATTAGCACAGTTATATGTACTTTGATGTGTTATATATAAGAGTTAATAAAAAGTAATCTATAGAAAAAGATAAATCAAATGGTGAAAAAAAGATGGATTTTATATATTTTCTCTCTTATACAAACATGAAAGAGAAGCTTTTTACATTCTACGATTGTTACGTTTGCTACGATCATAATGTTGACGGCTTCCCTAACCATTTTACCACCATTTTCGGTAAAAGGGCATATTTTGTTAATTATCCAAAAAATAGAATATAGGCTCTGAGAATTTTTCTGATTAAGCAGTTATAAAGAGCATGACTTGAAGTACACTAATATATGCTTAGATATCATTTATGTCGCTTATTGGTAGAGAACAATGATTTTCAAGTTGACCCTAATCGGAGGTATGTACCACCTCCACTGCCCAAGGGTATAACTTTTTCGGAAAAGCAAATATATTTCAAGATAGTTGTGATTGTTCAATGAAATGTGAAAAGCAAAAGTAACAAACAGAAGGAACAACTAAAAGGATAGAGATCTCGAAAGGAGTTTTCATCGTACATTAGAGACGAATGTCGTCTTTCTAAACATAGAAGAATTTCGTCGTGCGAAATCCATTGAAGGTCGTTGAGCACGAACTGGAATAAGCACCGACATGATAGATCAACAGATGATCACCCGTTTCCAACAGAGGCAAAGACACAGATTTACTCAAACAGTCCGAGGAATCACACGTTGGACCATAAACAGTTGAACGACAGAACGATCGCTTCTCGTCAGTCGGCCGGTCGTCCTTCTGCGAGAGACTGATCAGTGAATAAGTTGCCTTTTCATAGAGGATATTCGAGAGAGATTGATAAATTCCGTCGTTGTTGTAATAAACGTGTTCAGCAGTGGTCGGGAAATAATTTCTGTTCTCATGGCGTGTGGCGGTCACTGAAGTGAAGAGAAGAAGAAGAAGAAAAGCAACCTCGATGATTGGGAAAGAATTGTTCGATGTTTCGATTGATGCTTGTGGCGATGTCGGCGAAAGAAGGTTTCTCGGGCTGGTTGAGAGCGGGAAATCCTCCGCCGATGTCGAGAAGGTAGAAGTGGAATTGATACTCGTTGGCCAATTGCAGAGCCGATTGAAAGGCTTGAAGATCGTGACATCCAGTTCCCATGAAAGGAACATCCGACCAGGTGAAGATCAAGATCTCTTCCTCGTTCCAACAATTGAATGGCCATCGATTGATTGAGATCGAACTTCGAGTCAAATGAGATCAACGAATTAGGATTGTCAACTTTCAGTCTAAGTAAAGTCTTCGCTTCCGGCCAATGCTTTTTCAGTTTGATCAATTCCTGCAGGTTGTCGACCACGGTGAATTGAGCTTGACGAGAACGAAAGTAGTGAAGATGAGAAACGGGTTTACACGGATGAGAATAGATCACTCGCGTGAGAATAGATCACAATATTCATAAAACAATCGAACTCAACTCCTTGAGAGAGATCGAGAACACGATCTAATTCTTTGATCGAGGCACAATCGAATCCACTTCTCAGTTTCAACAAGGTTCTCAGCAGAAAATCATTGCTGTTGGTCTTCACGGCATAGAAAACATCGATCGAAGGGAAATAAGAGAACCATTTGTAATACTGTCGAACACAATGAGACAGATCGGCGATGTAGAACGGGTCTTCATCGATCTGTTGAGCAAGGAAATGTCTAATCGAAGAAGAATGACGAGGAAGGGAAGATGGGTGAAGATCTCACTTGACGATCGGTTGATCTGCTTCAGTCGAATGAACAAGATGAATATGGAACTCAGCTTGAAGAGACTATTTCAATTCTTCATCGGTCTGTAGCATCGAGAGAGATCTAGGAGGAAATGGAGTCTCTTTTTCTATTTCATATCGATCACGAACATCAATCAGACCCGACGCCTTCTCTTGTACTTCGCTCTTCTCGTCTAAATGCATCCATTGGACAAACAAAGGAGAGAGAAAGAGAGACGCGGCTCGTTTACCTTTAATTTCTGGTTTTTCGGTTGGCGAAATCTGATTGGTTCGTCGATTGTTCTTCTTCTCCCGAAAGATGAGTTGTCTCAGAACGAAGAGAATGGCTTGGAAGAGGAAAAGATCGATGAAAGAGATCAATGGAACGATATCGATCGTCTCCAAGAGACAAACAGAAACGATTCCGGTGACGAACCGATCATGTCCGTCAGAATGAAGATCAAACTGTATCCGTGGGCTGATTTCAGTCTGATCACCAACACGATCTGAGGAAAAAAACTCAGAGCATCGACCAGAGTTGGAACGACGATTCCAATGGCTTTGGTCACTCACAGATCAGATCGAGTCAACTCAAAAACGTAATAAAAGGCTAAACTAAAGACCAGCGAACAAAAGAGGAGAAGGAGATAATTGGCAAGAAATTCGAAATATTTCCTCACGGGTCGATATTCGTTCTCTTCTCGACAGAATCTCATTTGACATCCGATGAAGATGCCGATGCCAGTGAACAATCCATACGCAACACAAATGATCACCAACTCTCTGACCCAAACCAGATAGACGAGAGACACTTCGGCACCGAGAATCCACAGGATCACGGCGAGTGGGAAGAGATTGGTGACACTCTTCAAGCGATAATTGAGACAGGCTTGAGGAAGTAATGTGATCATCAAACAGATCAACGAGAGAATTTGAAAGACATTCGAAGCCACGGTATTCGACATTGAGGGAATGTTAGTCTCAATGAATGAATGAGAAAGATTTTTGCACGTTGATTTATTGCAATGTGAAAAGGCAATGATGTAACACCATCGCACATGAATCTAATGATGGTGGATGAGACCGTACTGCGGCGAGGGATTGTTCTCTCTGATCCGATGACGAGTATCACGAACGACGCAGACCTATGACTAATCGATCGATTCCTCTCGTCATTGTTGGCAGGGAAGGTCTGACGATTGAAAGAGGACAAAACAATCTTCCCTCGGATCCAGCGAAGCGAGGAATTTATTCAGTGAAAAGAGAGGTTTTTTTAACACGGAGGATATTTCTTCTGGAGATAGTCGATCAACGCTTGGGTTTGCGTTTGATTGAATCGATGTTCTTCGAGGGGTTTGGCCAAGGCGGGGTCGGTGTTCTTCAGATAGGCAATGGTAGTCAGGCGATAGTCTTCGCCCAAGGACGAAATGTCCGTTCCGTTGACGAGCCACGGCTTCCCCTGATTGAGTGTTCAACTCCACAGAAGGAGAGAAATCCTCCTGACCCTTTGCTGTTCCATCCTCGAGTGAGAAGATCGGCCAAGTTCGACCCGGAGATCCGAAGGGAATAAATTGGATCCTGATAGGGAAAGACTCGCAGGGCGTCGTATTGACTGATTTCGCCTCTGAGAGTGTCGTCGATGCGAATCGATCCGGCGTGATAAACGGCAATGGACGTGGTTTGAAGAAGACTTCGACAGGCCTCATCGGACAGCCTCGTGGGAAAGTTTCTGATCAAGGCCGTCCGGCCGTCGAGTTCGAGAGTGGGGGGAAACACGAGACGATCTCTCTCGGCTTCAGTCCGACCGCTTCGACGCCTTGCAGAGCGACGTCGAACCACCAGTGAACCAAGGCGTTCGTCGAGAAATGAAGAGGAATCTTCTCGTTCAACTCGACGAAGGTCGACTGAGCTCGGAAGTGTCGACGGGAGCGATGGAAGAGACATCGATGAATGTAAACGGAGAAGGCGTTGGAGTCCGCCTTGACGATCGGCGTGAATCTCGGCCCGCGAAAGAGATGGACATTCTCGTGTTCGTGTCCACCGACAATCAAATCGAACTGAGGAAAACTCTCGGCCAGACGAAGATCGGTGGACAAGTCGAGATGCGTCAAGGCAATGACAACGTCGTAAGACGAACGAGGAATCCCGTGAAGGAATTCTTCAACGAAGGGAATCAACGACGATTGATTGACGATCGTCACGTAAGATTTGATCACCTCGATCGTCAAGCCGAGACAAAGAACTGGAAGCTCGTCGATGAAGAGAATTTTGAACGGCAGAGTCGAGGGTGAGGGTGAGGGTGATTACATGGGATATTTCTCGGTCATAAGCCATCCAAATCGGAGAGGTTTTGAATCGTCGCAACTACTAGTACATGAAGATAATGTTCGCAGTGTTGGATGAAAGAACCAAATAAAGTATGTGAATGTCTTTATCAGAAATCTCTCACGCTTCCATCACACATATCTAAGTCCTCTGAAATGTTGGGATTTTCTTCTTGTATGCTTTATTTCCCGTTTGACCACTAAGAATCCTAAAGAGACATGATGCTGAAGTACAGCACAGGTACCACATTGAAAGACTGGGTAGAAAAAAAGGAAGGAAAAAAGATGAGGATTAGAGGAATTGATTCCTGACTGGACAAGACTCTGGGAGGTGAAACAAATGACAACAATTTTTGCCGAGTTAATTCTAGTTCTCTCGACACGTATATGCTTGTTTCGTCTAGATCGCTCACTAGGTTTCATGCAAAAAAGTGCTTAGACAGTATGTTCCCACGTGAGCCAGCTGTTGCAGCCAAAGTCTTCGAGCTCTTCTTTTTTAATAACAGTCGTACGTCGTTTTTCGTTACCTGATAATCATATTTCCGCCCGGCACTTGAGCAAGTTTGAATGAGAAACCTGTGTGTGACTATCCGGAGCAGGCAGAGCCGAGAAAAGTGCTTTGTGAATTCACATAAAATTCGAATTACAGCGAGGTCACAAGGCAGCTTTTTACTTGTGTGAAGGGAAAACCGAAGATGAAGTTCTTGTTCCGAAGAATGACTACTCATTAAGGCTTCCCACTCTTTCGGTGCGGTTGAAAGATTTTGTCTCTGTCCTTCATTCAAAGAGCTGTGCAAGTCATGAATTGCATCGTGTCGGCGAATGTCATTGTTTTGTCATCTGGAAGCAGCAACAACTGATACCTGACTCGGGATTTACAAAATCCATGAACTGGAGTCAAGTGAGTCGTTCGAAATCCGCTGTCAGTCAGAACCGCGTTTATACAAACCTTATTATCAACATGCAAAAGAAGGCTTTGTCTATTGGCCAACTGATATTGTTCAAGGCAACCACAGAAAGAAACCGAGGCGCCGGGACAGCAGACTTTATCTGCACAGAAACTACGTTTCACTGTGTATCCAATAAACATACACAAACTGATCAAGATTGGTAGCGTGTAGAATTACAGTTCAACGAAAACATGTTTCGTAGCTATTGACACATTCTTTGCAGCTTTTCTGCACTCCTGTAACTGACATCCGAGTTTTTTTAACCACCCAAGCACGAAAAAAAATCATGAAGCGGGCGTTGCATCTAGATTAAAAGGTACATTTATCTAGCTTCAGCTAGCTGCACAGAAATACATGGAAATTTTACCTAGCTTCAGCTAGATTGAATCTAGTTTCAATTGGGTACAGTTAGTTGCTATCGATTAATCGGGCAATTCACTACTCGATTAATTGGCCTATGCAGTGGCCGTTTCAGCTAGTACACAATTTCAACCAGCATGCAGCTAGATAAATGTACCTTTTAATCTAGTTAATCTAGCTGTAAGTGGGCGCTGCAGCTACTTCTGCAGCTAGATTTTCTTGCTTACTTATTTTTGCTTGGGCATGAGGCTGAGTTTATCTCGTCCGATTCTCGTCCAAGAATGATCACATATTTAAGCAGTGTGTTGAAATAAAAAATATTTAAAGCAACTTGAAGCGCTTCATCATAACTCAATTGATGCGTCTCACTACATGGTCTTGGACGTAGCAGACGATGATTTGACTGTTGTCCCATCGTTGTTTTATCGATCAGATATTCAAATCCACTCTCGGAATAGCCTTAGAGAGTCCTATGGGTTTCAATAATTTGTTTCCAGAGAAACAAACGAGATTCATTTCTTTAAAAAAAGCATGCTACATTTTCTCAGTACAACCAGTCCATGTGTGCCGTTGACGCATGTCTATTGTGATGAAGCGAAAGATAAATGGCATCTGTCTGAAATGTACCTTCGCCTTTCATCACTAGACACGTGATATAGAACTAGAACTTGCAAAAGTATGTGCCATACTCGAAGAGGGCATCAGCATCATTGAAATCTAGGAAAACGCCATCAGTCTTAGATCGCATACTATTTGGTAGAGATTCTCTGTTCTCTGAAGTACTTCATTGTCCTTGAACATTCAGTGTTCCCATGTTTCGAAAAAGTGGCAGAGATAATTAGTGTGTTTTTCGAGGTGGCTTTGATTAATGCTCGATCTCTATAAACAAATGACCATTGCTCTAATTTCAAAGATCGATTCTCGTTAAAATGTTCGATCTTCACTATCTCAGCGTGGAAAGTGCTTGGCGTCTGCATGAACTAAATCCAGATGTAGAATTCTTTAGAAAGTGCTGTTTGGTTACATCCGGCCGGAAAGAGTTAAGTGATAGAATTCAAGGTTCATTAAATGAATAATGGGGGGAAGTGACCCGTTCATAACTACTCAGATAAATTGATATGTGCGTTACGATTGACGACCGGTAGAAAAGTATTACTGAATAACTACTCTGCGTTGTGTGGTGCTTTTCGTTTCTATATTACCTGACGGTACATACACAACGTGCTCGATCACTCAGAAGAAGGAGAAGGAAGATTCTGTGTTTTTATAAAACGAACTGGCGAGAACGGTGATATGGGTAGTATTTATACATTTCTCTCCGATTGATAAGCCGGGATTCTGTTCGATTTGTATTTGAATATTGTGTTCGACTAGAGTGATTCGTCGATTAAGCTTGCATTGGCGCGGCGACTGTTGATGGATCATGGTCGGATAGTCGATGTTGCTGCTTTGAGCGATGAATACAAACAACACTTGCTCTATTAATATCTACCAATAACCCAATCAAGCGCATGATTAATGCATCTGTTAGAAATGTCTATTACCATGAGCGAATATCGATCGAAGAAAACATTCTTTTTCGGTATTTATTTGTAAATCTTAGAAGAGCTGCTAAAACTTAAGAAAAGATCATGCCTTCATTGATTAAAATATTCTGTCCAGTTATATAATCAGAATCTTTACTGGCAAGAAATGAAACCAAGTTTGCCACGTCGTCCGGATACCCTATGCCACCGAGTGGAATAGCTTTTACAGCATCTAGGATGATATCTTCCTTTGTTTTTCCTTGACGTTTTGCACATGCTTCATTATACCTATCCGTCAACGCGGTCTCAATCAAGTCTATGCTTATTTTTGGAGTTTCATATCTAGAAAATCATAAAATCCACCTGAACAATAAGTATTGACTGTTATGTTGTATGGAGCACATTGTGTTAAACCTCGGACGCCGCATTTTGTAGCACAATAATGATCTACTATGGGATACCCCGTATAGCCACCCGTACTACAGGCACCAATCAGTTTTCCTCCTCGACCTTGTTGAATCTTTATTTTCGCTGCTTCGTTGTAACAAAGAAATACACCACGCATATTTACTGCAAAGCTTCACTCCGAGTCTTCTACGCTAATGTCGACCAGCGCTTTGCTATCACAGATTCCAGCACTGGCGACGACGACCTATGAAACCAACCGAACAGGTAGAGAGAACCACGGAAGAAAACGACAAAAATACCTACGTCTAAACTTCCCACTTTTGTGCAACGTTTTGCATCATTTCTTCGACCGATCTGCTCACCGAGACATCAGCGGTGATGGCGATTGGTTTCTAACCAGTTTGCTCAATTTCTCGCTGAACTTCCAGCAATTCAGAAGAACTCGCTGTGGTGACATTAACAGCGACATTCAGTCCATCTTTAGCCAGACGAAAAGCAATTGCCCGACCCATTCCTCGAGCAGCACCAGTTACCAGAGCAGTTCGAATCATTTTCGGCAATAATAGATAGAAAGCAGAAATAGCTTTCCTTTACAAATCGCACACGCAGTGATGTGTAAGGTATTACTAAGAATAGATGAAGCGCGATTATTCATGCGAAACAAGCGTAGGTTGTGCGAGTAGAAAAAGAAGAACCACGTACACCATTTAGAAGCAATGCATAACCATGCACTCTTCTATTCATCGTCTTCATCTATTTTGAAATTCATCAGTTTTATACATTGTATAAATTAAAATACAGAGGAGTGCTTGCATGGATGGTAGTTATTTTTATTCAGTGAAGAAAAGTATTCGTTATTATGTGGTGATATACTTGTGTTGAACGCCGATTGAGATACATACTGTACGGGGAGATGGAGCCACAGTACCTATCTGTGCACTCTATTGTTACGACTTAATAGAATACCTTCTTTCAGAACAACTATTTCTTTGCCGGTGCAGTTCATTAATTCATTCACCTCCACATCTATTCTATCATTGACTGAGTCGCTTGAGCTGGATATATATGACATCTATTCACCAGCGGAGAACTGCAACACCAAAACGAAAGTAGAGTGAAGTAGTTGTATTACTGAATGCTTTTTCATCCACCTTCGACTTTTATCATACCCGGACACGTCAATTCTGCTCTATTTTTATGCCAAACGAGTGGAGATACCCGGCGTTAGCCGGAAAAATTCAATCCAATCTTACTACACGCATGAAAAACATCTATTACGCACGTTAATTTGTAGAAGATGCTGACCAATGGTGCCCCCTTTGGGGAGCCTCTCTGTGCAAGCTATTCGTAGACAGCCTAGGAAAAGTGATGTGCTTCGATCGAAACAAAGCAAGGTAGACAGGCAGATTTTTGTGCGAAAGGGGTCTTTTTCAGCAACATGAAAAGTCTATTTCTGTGAGTACATAGCTGACTCACAGCCTTTTGATCCCGACAACCTGTCCATCAGAGATTGGTTCCAACTGAATCAATAAGATTTCGAGAGGAATGGACATCGGATTCGGACTAACCACCCTCACCCCAAATAGCCTTCTCTACATATTAGATAAAAGGCGTACGAAGAAGTACAGGAAGATTGACGTGCGCCTTTCTCTACCCTGTATAACCCTCATGTTCTCATATTTTTCTCTTCTCTGTTCTGTGTAACGATGCAAAAAATAATGTTGCCGTTCTCTTCTCGGACACTCAGTATAGATTTTTTCTGCATTCATTCGCACTAGACATAATGTGAGGAAAACAAAAGTTTTAGATTTTGAACCGTTGTATTACATGTCTGCTGTGCGTGCTGTAGCTGCCCCGAACACACAAATCTTGTCTTCTCTAAAACCACCTCTAAATGTCGTCGTAGTTGGCGGTACATCTGGTATTGGTCGTGGAATCGTTCTGACATACCGTAAACATTGTCCGGACGCGCATGTGACAATTATTGGACTTGATCAATCTGGTGCCGATGAAATCCTCGATCAGCTAGGTCCAAATGGAAACTTTATCCGTGCTGATGTTTCATTGATGTCTGAAATTCGAAGAATTACTAAGCAAATTACTGCAGTTGACGTACTCGTTTTATCTCAAGGCATGTTACCAGTAACTGGTCGTGCACCAAACAAAGAAAATATTGATGATATAGCGGCTGTCAGTTATTCTGGTCGAGTTTTATTTGTCGAAGAACTTCTTCCATTACTTCGATCATCTCCACATGGTGGTAAAGTTCTCTTTGTTTTGAATAGTAAAAGAGGCAATCCATCGAAAATCCATTGGGATGATATGGCACTCGAAAACAATTATTCACTTTTCCCAGCTTTTAATCATGGCCAGGAATTTACTGATCTTGTCATTCAATATCTTGCTTCTCAACCAGAGAATGCTACGGTTAGTTTTGTACATGCAGTTCCAGGTAGTGTTGGAACTCCTATAGCCAATGGTTTACCTTTTTATCTTCGAGGTGCTAGATCGATTCGTCGCTGTGCAATGTGTCGCGCTCTTTTCGTCGCATGTCATTTCGTCGCCTATTCATTTCGTCGCATTCTCAATTAGTCGCACAACACTTCGACGCAACATTCTCTCGTTGTAGATTTCTCTCTACTGTTTTGTGTCTCGAAGTCTCTTCTCAATAAATCAAGACGAAATGAAGCCTTTGAAAGTTTGGGAATGTGTGCAGGATGATTCTAGGAGGGAATGACGTGCTAAATGAGGAGTGTTTAGTCAGAAAGCAAGATCAGCAGACTCAGACAAGCAACACATGATTAGATTTCGTGTTGCGTTAATGAACTTCAACACCATCTACATAATTGGAGAAACCAATTCGATGTTCCGATTCATGGTAATACGCAGCATAAATAGGTAGTATTCATTGAAGAACGATGCCTTCAACAAATAGTCTTCAAAAGCATCTTCCACTGCTCTCTAAACATGTCTCTCATACAGAAGCTCTTATCTGACAAAGGTAAACCTCTGCTAGTACATGCTGGTTTTGTCTACACTGTCGAAAAAACAACAACAACTAAGCACAAAATAGAATGTGTTGGATCTGTCGCACAGACTTCTTTCTATCTGTTTAAGCGAGTCGCCATACAAACTTGTCCATGATATTTTTCTCCCTCACCCTCACCCCTTTGTTTGACATTCTCTTCTATCGCTTCCAAAGTTGAATATTTTACGGTGTATTTATAGATCAAATTGTTGAGCTAGTACATGAACACAAAAAATAGACATTTAAAAATATAAAGGAAAAGTGATTACGAATACCTGGAAAAGATAGTACGTACAGAAGGATATAAAATACGTACAGAGAATACACATAACCTATGTCAAGAAAGTCTTCAGACAAAATGTCAAGTAGGTTTTCGCGCGCCTATAACTTAGCTGGGTAACTGGGATTACCTGTTAATACCCATTCCGGTAGACAATTCCATCCCTACAGAATCATGGGTCGCGATGAGTTGTAACACAAAAGCATAAAAAATTAGCCGTATCTCTCGTGAATCCATCCTGCACATGAAACGGAATCTCAAAAAACATTTTTTTCGATTTTCGGGACTACAAGAAAAATGATTTTGATAACATTATTGACGCAACATAGATTAGGCATCTTTTTTTTTTGTAGAGCAAGCTTTTCCCTAGAATCTGATGGATGAGAATACCTTGCAAACATTTGGATTCATACAGTGTCAATTAAAGTGCATTTTGGGAAAACTAATATTTTGTCTAAACGTCTTTTCTGGTCCCGGTCAAAGATTCACTTGCACGGATTCAACCATGAGTCATGAAGGCATTCTGAATCCATGGTTAGATAGAGCATGAAATTCTGCTTTCAGGTAGGGATTTCTTATCACTTCAAGTTACTTACAAGCGTACGAAAACCTACTTGATATTTTGGCTGAAGACTTTCTTGACATGAGGGTAGATTCATGGAGAACCGTCCAGTTTTTGGAAAGGGTTTATTTTCGGACTTTTATCTCTCGACTATGCCGGTATGGTCTGAAAAACGTTTGTGGTCACAAGGATGGGTAGTCCTTCCTGTTCGGAATCTCGAGTTTAGGCCGTTTTCTCGGAACATGCCCCTGCCAAGGGTAATGGGCCAGCTATAGTATCAAAATGAAACTTCTAACATTCTCGAATGCAGTTTTCTGTTTCTTTCCTCACCGGAAACGATGGTTTGGCTTTGGATGGCGCTTCGTGTTCACGATTTCGAGTTATAATATCAATTTCAGACTGTTGTTCATTTTAAAATAGAGTAGTAAAGATTGTTCTTGGAATAACTTTTCACAGGAAATAGATAGAGAGTTCAGCCACCCCACATTCAAAAGATCGGCTCCCGGGCTACAAAATCCATATTGAAGGTGATTGGCTGACATCCAAATAATCATAGAATTTCTTGATCATCATTCCGGCAGCAGCAAACTAGTCCGAATTTCTGCTGGATAATTGATCGCGCACTACTCGTTCGAAAGCGAATTCTTTTCTCTTTCCAACAAGAAGTTGTTGAGGTCTCCAGCTCATTCCTTGCAGAAAAGACATCGATTTTCCTAAGCCCAGTAATTTCTGGTCTTTTACCTCAAAACAACTCAGTAGAGCTCTGCCCTCGGATAAACGAGT